GTATCTAGGTTAATGAAAATATCACACTCTGTTTATTAGGAATAAAGCTGTTATTAAAACAAAGCCTGCATTAATTAGGCTCAACTTCATCTTGCATTCTGTAATGTCATATACAGCTGCTGTTTCCCTCGTTTTGTAAAATTAACTGTAGAGAGGGAAGGCAGTCTTCTCATATTAAAGAAGACATAAAACCCTGAGTAATTACCAGAGCAGGAAGCTAAACCTTTAAGAAGCTACAATGGCAATACTATATATTTTGCATTAGTGCCTAGTAATAGATCTCTGTGGGTACAGGGAACTATGCAGGTCAGATCGAGGGCACTGAGTAATCTGGTTGCCCCCTCAAAGGCAAATGAGAGCAGAGGGGACAGGGTATCCGGAACTTGGTCTCAGGAAGTGAGGGGGAAGCCATTCGCTACAGGCAGGGTGGGAACGTGGGCGAGGCGCTCGAAGGGGCCCCATCGGTAAATGGAATCCAAAGACTGCCGACTATACATTGTAAGGCTGCAAGGCAGGACTGAGCCAGAGCAGGAGGCAGCTGAATGGAAACCCAGGAAGCCAAAATGAGCCGTTTAAAGTGGAGGACGGGAAGCAGAGCCCCAGGGAAGTCCCTAACCTCAGAAACCTGTTCAATAACACCTTTTTATAGAGTGCCTGTGGCTTCTGGGCAAGTGGAGATTGACCCAGTGTGGCTCAAACGGAAGCCAGTTCTTCCCCAAATTTAGTGTGCACATGGGTCACCTGTTACAATGTAGACTGATTCAATAGGTCTGAGAATCTGCGTTTCACGCAAGTCCCCAGGTGTTGCTGATACTGCTGGTCCGGGGACGACACTTCGAGTAGCAAAGGGTTTAACCCACTCCCTCTCCAAGTACCCCATTCTTTGGTCACCAACTCTTTCTATTCTACCCTCCGCTGTACCTTAACTCCAGCCATTCTTTTTTTTTTTTTTTTAATTTTATGTATTTATTTATTTTTGGCTGCGTTGGGTCTCCGTTGTTGTGCACGGGCTTTCTCTAGTTGCGGCGAGCGGGGAGATACCCTTCGCTGCGGTGCGCAGTCTCCTCATTGCGGTGGCTTCTCGTTGCGGAGCAGGGGATCTAGGCGCACCGGTTTCAGTAGTTGTGTCGGGCGGGCTTCAGTAGTTGTGGCACATGGGCTCAGTAGTTGTGGCTCGCGGGCTCTAGAGCGCAGGCTCAGTAGCTGTGGCACCCGGGCTTAGCTGCTCCGCGGCATGTGGGATCTTCCCGGACTAGGGCTCGAATCCGTGTCCCCTGCATTGGCGGGCGGATTCTTAACCACTGCGCCACCAGGGAAGTTCCAACTCCAGCCATTCTTGCACTTCACCAGCACCTTCAATCCATTGGTCCTGCTAATTTCCACCATCTGTCACTCCCTCTGCTTCTCCTTTCCCAGTTACTCAGCTTAGATCCCATAATCTCTCTTTGTAACACTCCTTTGCACACACCTTCAGGTTCTTTGCTACTTTCTCTCTTTCCTTGTTATACTCACGGGCATAACTCATCACTCTACCCTCCCCCACCCCCATGTCTTCAGCTGTGCTGTGCTGAGGCTGAAGGAACATACACCGCTGAGCTAGTAGGTATCACTTTCATCTCCGTGGGCCCCTCAGGCTGCTCCTTCCTTGTCCATTTACTCTTTCCCTCTCCTGAAGGACTTCTTCCTCCTCCCTGCTCTCCTATCAAACCTCCACTACCTCCTTCCCCACCCTGAATCTCCACTAATAACTTTGCTTCCACGTTTCTTCTTTGCACCATGACTTAGAACTTTCTCCTGTTTCTTCTACTGGATTTACATTGTCTGTGTGTGGGCCCACGGCCCGGGCCTTCCCTGCAGTGGCCACGGGAGCACTGGACCCTCACCACGGCTGACAGGCGCCTGTCCAGCCCCTTCCTCTTCCTCTGGCGCCCCCTGGGTGGGCAGCCCCCCGTGGAGAGGCCAGGGGAGGGGCCCCGGTCAGCTGCAGCTTAAGATAAAGGTTCGAGGGAGCCCAGATATTCACATGGGGCCCGGGGTGACCAGCCCCTCTCTGACTTGCCTTCCCACCGCTCTCCAAGGGATGCCAATGCTGACATTTGGCGGCTTACGGTACCCCCACCAAACCTCACCTCCCCTCCCGGCCCCTCCCACCTCCCCTCCCGGCCCCGCCCATCACCCCTCCCGGCCCCTCCCACCTCCCCACCCAGCCCCACCACCTTGAGGGCTCTGCTCAACCGTATTTTACCCCCTGAGGTCTTTCCCAACTCCCTGCTTAAAGTAGTGCCTACCCCAGGGCAGTACCCAGCCCCAAACTGGCTTCAGTTGTTTTCTTCAGTGATTATTATAACTGTTTTGCCAGATGGCTGGTTTGTCTCCCACCTGCACCAGAAAGCACCAGAGGACTGGGAATCGTGTGTGTCTCTGTCAGTATTGAAACACCACCTAGAATAGTGGCCAGCACATGAAGACTTAAATAAAATATTTGAACAGATATTGGAGTGGAAGATGTGATTAAATTAGAACAGAATCAGAAAAAGCCAATTAGTTAAAAACTACATACCAACATATGTATTCATAAAGCCACGCTGGTCCATTTGAATTGACACAGCTACCTGTTTTGGGATCCTTTTGGACCTGGCTGTGCTGAATGTAATAGAAATCATTGAGCCTGTCAGGCCCTTGGGGGATCAGGAGGGAAAATGACTAACACCAAGTTCCGTCCAGGAATTCCTGTCCCTTTCTTCCCTCTTTAATTGCTCTCAGGGAGGTCAGTAGTTAAGTCAGGATTTAACCCACCCACCTGCTCTGGGCTTCTTCAGTGCTTGTTATCTTCATGTGGGACACGGACAAAGAGCTGTAACCTGTTAGCACTTAACAACAATTCCTCAGGCCAAATGCCTACTTCCCTGGGAGTTTAGGAAAGGTGCTATTTTGACCACGCAGGTGACTCCATTTGGGTCTACACTTATGGACAACCACATGGCTTTCGGTTGGTAGAAGAAATAGCCTATGAACTCACAAATGGAGGTACCACCTTAAGAATGAATAGTGCTGCTATTCCCGAGGTTGGGAAGTTAGGCGGTCGGTCCACTGAAAGTGAAAGGAAAGCATCTCAGTGTCTATGTAAAGTTCTAGAAATATTTTTATTTAATTCTGGAAAGTTTTGCTTTTAATAACATCGTCAGCATAAATCATTGCCTCACAGGGTTTTAAGCAAGCTCTGATTTAGGAAGAGAAAGCACAGGGTGTTCTGTGAGTATTAAATAAGATGACTAGGGCTTCCCTGGTGGCGCAGTGGTTAAGAATCCGCCTGCCATTGCAGGAGACATGGGTTCAATCCATGGTCCGGGAAGATCCCATATGCTCTAGAGCAACTAAGCCCGTGCGCCTCAACTACTGAGCCTGCTCTCTAGAGCCCATGAGCCACAACTACTGAAGCCCGGGCACCTAGAGCCCGTGCTCCGCAACAAGAAGCCACTGAAATGAGAAGCCTGCACACCGCGACAAAGAGTAGCCCCCGCTCTTCACAACTAGAGAAAGCCCACGCGCAGCAAGGAAGACCCAGCGCAGCCAAAAATAAATAAATAAAAATTAAAAAAAAAATGATGACTAACCCCACACAAAGCCAAGAATACAGCAGGTGCGTAATACATGTGCTTTCCTCCCTCTCTCCTCCCCTATCTGCACTGTTTCTGATGGTCCCCACCCAAACTGTTGTTTCTGTATAATGTGGAAGTTAGGATATAAATATTATTATGTTTTAATGAGTCATCACTTATTTAAGACCAGTGATTCTCAACTGGGGAATGATTTGGCCCTTCATGGGACATTTGTCAAAGTCTGGAGACATTTTTGATTATCACAATCACAGAGCAGAGGAATGCTAACTCCTCAAAACAAAGAACTATACAGCCCCAGATGCCAGCGATCTGTACTTTACACTGGTGTTTACAATTTGTTTCTTCACTGGACTCTAAATAAAAGAAGATTGAGAAGGATGTGACAGGCTGAGGACCCAGCTTGGGAGAAGTTTGTGGACCCACCTATGGTAGAAGCACACTATGGATGGTTTCCAACTTACAAACAAGTGCTTTATTAGAAACTCATTTCTATGTTAGTTGTTTAGCCTCTTAAAAAACAAAACAGGGCTTCCCTGGTGGCGCAGTGGTTGAGAGTCCGCCTGCCGATGCAGGGCACGTGGGTTCGTGCCCCGGTCCAGGAAGATCCCACATGCCGCGGAGCAGCTGGGCCCGTGAGCCATGGCCGCTGAGTCTGCGCGTCCGGAGCCTGTGCTCTGTGACGGGAGAGGCCACAACAGTGAGAGGCCCGCGTACCGCAAAAAAAAGCCAAACAAACAATGTGGCAGAGGCATGGAGAAGTCCAAGTCCAGATGGGAGGCGAGGATGATGAGACATGACTCTGGCAGGCTGGCAGACACCAGGGTGGGAGCTGGTCAAACCACACCAAGTGGCTTGAGTTTTATCCCAAGAGCTGTGGAGAGCTGTACGTACGGGCCCTTATGCTCTTTTCTGTACACTATTCGCAGTCTGTACATACTTTAATTATTACTTGTGTCTCTCTGTATCATATGTATTGGTAACTTGGTTTCCTGAACTGGGCCTCTTCATCTTGCTTTTGTATAGCACAGAGGTTTTTCAGCAAGTATTTATCTCAAAATAGTTATTTCTCCACTTTGGAACAGGTAGCTTTCCCAAACACTTGTTTCAGTTGCAGTCGTTTAGAGCTTGGAATGCATTGTCCCGGTTTCATAAACAATGGGTTTTCAGGCTGGCGTGGAAACCTTCCAGAACCCACAGTGCTCCTGAGCTGTCATGCTTAGTAGCTCAGAACGGAGGATTCCCACAAAAGGGCAAAGAGGAGAGAATTTCCATTGCCTTTCTTGGTTGAAAGAGGACTGTTGGCAAATATGATCCTTACCCTTTTCCTCCCAACCTGATGTGTAACTCTCCCTCACCTTCTACTGCACATTTCTCTTGCAGCTCCCAGCGAGGAGGCACTAAGAAGACCACGTGGTCAGGGGCCCCATGAGGTGGGTTGAGGGCTAGGGAGCTCTGGAGAGTCTGACATGGCAGGTCATGGAGGGACCACCACCTTGCTTGTTGTCAACGTACTATTTCCCTTTGGTCTTTCTAGGATTGCTTTGCATTTCATTTCTTTCTAAGAAATAGCTCTTTCTTTTCTCTTCTAAACACTTACCAAAAAGAAAAAAATTTGCATTGGTTTACCTCAGTGGATATGTTTTCTGAGAACATTCAGTCTAGTTGTTGGGTCATTCTTTCACTCCCAATGCTTTTTACTTCCACTCAGGATACTTTAAGATGACTTCTTAGATTCTACAGTCTGCAAAAACAGAATAGTCGATCTGAGGTTACATTCCTCAAACCTGAATCACACATCCTCTTGGAGGAAGTGATCTTTGTAAGTGATATAGTTTTATCTTAACCGTAGGAAACCATGCTAACAAAAAATATAGCATGTTTCAAGATGAAGACACAAAGTAATATGGCAAAATCTATTATAACAATTATCAAAGAATTCTTTGCAATTTTGTTCCGGCCATCTTTGTTCTGATAAGGCTGTCATCTTCTTAAGGCATGCAACCGTTTTTGTTTTTGTTTTGATCTGTAAGTACCTCGCATACTGGCAGAGTCCATGTTTGTGGTGTGGTGCTAACCCATAGTTACCGTCAGTGTCTGTGAGAAGAGGTGGAATGAAGCAATGAGTAAAAAACAAAGCATGGGCATAATTATTAATCACCGAGAGCACATGTGATTAATGCCATCATTTTTACTTTCCTACTGATAAAAAATTTGCAATAATATATACGTCTGTGGATATTGGAAGAGCAAGTTTTAACTTTGGTTTTTCCACATTATTGTTTAATCGTACTAAAGGTTAATTAAATAATTATTTCTCAGTTTCTTTATTGCTCAGAACTTTTATAAGTAAATGAAAAGATCATCATTTTACCCTCAGTTACTGCAGTTTTAATCCAGCTCAGAGTTGTGAAATTGTTTCCTCTTGTGTTTCCTTTCCAGAAAGCACGAGGCCGTTCTCGTTTCAGCCAGTGAGTGCAACTTCAGAGCTGGGAGAGAGCGATTGCAAGGTATTCAGTTATCTGGTTTATTCTACATTGTCCATCCATGCTTGCTTTCAGTTTAACTTTCTACAGGCATCAAGGGTATATCTGGGGACTCTGACCTGTGGGACTGCAGACACACAGCTTTGAAGCTGAAAAATCTCAAGGGTATTAGCTAATCCAGTTTTGAATTTAGCACCATGGGGCTTCTGCCATAGCCACCGAGATGCCGCTGGCCATGCTTCCTACAAGATGGTGTTTCCCTATGGTCAGTGATGGGCGGTGAGCCTGGCTCTACCTTGTAATGCCTATGTGAAGTTAGGCAAAATGCCTACCCTCCCTCAAGCTCTTTCCTCATCTTCGAAATGGAGACTCTAATTGGGTAGCCTGATGGGTTTCCAATTCCAAACAGTGCTCACCGTCACCGCCACCACCACCAAAAAATATATGAGGCTGCATTCTACCATTATTGTTATTAGTGGTATTAGTAATCTCGTTTAGTGCTGATAATAAAGTTATATAAAAATTCTTTAATGACTTTAGGTCATCTTTGAACAGACCCGAAGCCAGAAAAAAAAATCAGCCAACCTAAACAAGTGACAAATTAACCCAAAGACATTCTTTATTTGATGTTAGCAGTTAATTTGCTACATGGTTATCCATTTTTCTAATAAATCCTGGACAATTTGAAGTTCTGTGCCCACCCATTTAAAAGATTTGCCAACCTCAAGCACTGTGACCCGACTGACCCCTATCCCTTATACATCATTATCCAGTTTCTCTTATGGGCCGGAAAGGAAGGAGTACATCTGGCCTGAATGTCCCTAATCTCTTCACAGAAGGCATCTTGTAAAATAGGCCACTGTCTTTCAATCAAATCTTTCCTTTAACTTGTTGAGAAGTTCTTTCTCTTGCCAGAGAAAGCCTTTCCTCTTAGGAGAGTAAGGAGCTATTTCAGGGTCATTTGGGTTCCCCTCAGAGGTCTTTCTAAATATAACCGCAGATCCTAGAAAACAGCCTGCTTTTTGTTAGTTAACTTCAACTTAAGAGCCAGTGCATTAAGAGCTTTGATTATCCACGCTCCAAAAATGCCTTCCTCTGATCTCCCATCATTTGACAAGAATCTCGATTCTTGTCGAATCTCAGGGATTAAACACTGTTTTCTCTAATGGACTTCCATTTCCACGAGAGCTGCTCGCCTTACACATTTTATTTGTGGGCCTGAAATATAGAGCATTTTCTAGTTAAGGGGCATTAAGATTTAACTCAAGAATCTATATATTGGCTTGGCCCAAAAGTTCCTTCCGGTTTCCCGTACCAACTTCCCGAAAATTATGGGAAAACCCGAACGAACTTTTGGGCCAACCCAGTATTTCAGAATAGGGCTCAGATGTTTCTGTAGTGGAGTCACACAGTCTTCTCAAGTTTCTAGAAAGCATTGCATTATATGCTGTTTTTGTATGTGGCAGATTGCTTCAATCTTACTATGAGGATATTTCTCTGCCTTTAAAAAGAAATTTCACCTGGGATTTGCAGTCTGCTCTCTGCCAAATCCCTGACCCCAGCATTCAGTTATCTTCATTTGTATACCCCAAGCGGCTCTCAAAAGTAATCTGTTTTCAGTGAAACTTTCTTCCCCACCCCCGTCTCTTGTCTTCTACTCACAACTGATTCCTTCTCCTGGAATCAATATTTTAATTAAAGACATCCACTGTTGACATCGTAACTCAAGCCAGGAATCTCCATCCTGACATTGCTTCACCCTCTGCATTCAGTTCACACTGGATTCTGGATTTAAGATAACATAGGAAATTCCCCAAACGGTGACTGGCGCTAGGCGAGGTCAAATATTAATTGCCAGCTGTCACAGATGTTAATTGTAAATATCTTTCCCATCTTCCTCTCCTGTGTCTCCCATGTCACTCCCTTAGTTTTGGTCCTCATCAGCTCTGTGCCAGTCTGTTGCTGGAGCTAACTAGTAGAGCTCTCTTCCAACAGACTGTCTCCACTCTAGGTACCCTGCTCCCCAGTTTATAATGAGATTTCCCACTCAGTGACTTCTATGGGCCCTTGTAACCTTGAGAATAGACCCAAACACTTTGCTGTGGACCTCCACGATCAGCCCTGTGCGCCCCTCCAGCGCACTGCCTACCTTCCCCTGCTTCGCCATTTATGCTTCATTAGGACTGAATTTCTTGGGATGTACTAACAACATCGTGTTTTTTCAGGCACCCACGCCTTTGCGCGTGCTTTTCTGACTTCCGAGAACGCCCTTGCTCAATTTTTCTTGATATATTCCAGTACATCCTTCAAGGTCACCTCAATTTCCATCTCCTCTGAGAAACCCTCTCTGATTCCCCCATGTGTACTGGACTCCCACGGTTCTTCAGTTGTATCTCTGATCATGCTGTATTTAACTTTCCACTTATACATCTGACCCTCCCTCCCATGGACACTAAGCTCGAGGGTAAGATTCAGATCTTATTATTTTTATATCTACAACATCTATTAGATGCCTTGCACATAGGAACACACAGTGGATGTTCTGATTTCTTTAAGTGAGTGGATCTCTGACCCTGTAATAAAAAGGAAGATGGTATTTGTAAAAAGTAATCTCATGGTGTGCTTATTCCCTAAGTACAAGCATTTTTCTCAACAATAATGTTTTGCTTTTCTATTTTGCTTTTAGTATCCATGCGTTAAGGAAGAGCTGCCAAAACCAATTTGCAGCCCCTTTCCCTCTTCTACTGCTGTTAGTACTAAAATGGTGGCTACATATTTTTGGAACTTATAACTGTGTATCATTTCCACCTAGGAAGTAGATTTAGTCAATATCCTCATCAATTTGGGTGAAGATAGTAGTTACTTGTATGACGTTTGAATTGGGGATTCAAAATTTACATTACCCCAACCCATTTTCAGGCTTCTCATGTGCCCTTGGAAGGGTGATTCAGATTTCCAGAGTTGTTCTTTCCACTTATCAGAAAGACAAGCAATGAGAACAGCATCAATAACCGTCTGCTGGGACAGGAGCCCTAATCCAAAGCAACAAGGCCACAGTTAACACAATTAGCAATGAACTGCATTTTGAAGAGCTAGGGAAACATAATGGGATTCATTTTTAATTCCAACCAATTCTGAGCAAGAAAGCAAAAGCCTTGTCTCTCTGGAGTGGCTTTGACATCAAGGGTTACCTACTGCAGGCCTGTCGGAACTTTTAACAGCTGTCTCCGCTGTGAAAATAGACTTAGGTTGTAAGGTGATTGCAGAACTGAGGAAATGATGACTTTGTCTCTCATATGAACTTTGGCTCGCAAAGATGAGGTTAATTTCCGCGTACGCTGTTCGCTTTATTTTTTAAGTCAATTTTAATAGCAGTCTGCCTGTGCCCTGAAAAAAAGTCCAAGGGCAGTAAGAAAGAGTTGATATAAATATGTGTAACGGTGTATATCTTAGCGCTCTCTAGGCCAGTAGTCAACAAAATACTTTGCAATCAACCTAATTAATCCTTTATTTTTCTTTTTTGCTATCCTGCCTTGCATTTACTGTGTGTATTTTCTGAATTACAAAAGCAATGTACGTATTCACTACAGTACGCTGGAAAATACAGAACTCCCAAGGAAGAAAAAAAGCTTCCCTATTCCCAAGGAAGAAAAAAAGCTTCCCTATGAGGCCATTACCCCAAAAGAACCATTGTCAGCTTCTTGGTTGATATTAGCCTCCAAGTTAGAGTTTCCACCAAGCAAGCGTACATACTTTTCAAATTCTTATTATGAAAAATTTTGCATACACGAGAGAACGAATGATACAGTGAGTTCTCATATACTCACTACGTAAGTTTACAGATTACCAAGATTTCGCCATCATTGGTTTGTCCATCTCTTTTTTCTCTTTCCCTTCCTCTTTTCTTTTGGAAGTATCAGCTAACTACTTTGTAAGGGAAAGGGGAATCCTGATATACTGAGGGCTGTGGAAGGCAAGTATTTGCCTGCCAATTTCATACACCTTCACCCACCTTTTACTTAGGAAGCAAAAAGTATGGTTTTACATTTAGTATTATATTGTACTTGGGGGAATAAGTAGCCTTAAAGCTCAGGTCTATCACATGCTAGATGGGTATTGATTTTTCCTCTTAAATCAATGTTTCCCTAGAGCATAGTTTTATTTATTCATAAAGCCAAGATGATGTCTTACAGGAGTTATGGCAGTGTAAATCTGTGATGCAGGCCTAATACGAAGAGCTTTTGTAAGACTCAAAAATCAATGATGCTAGAGGGTTACTTCATAAGCTTGAGAAAGTGCATTTGCTGTGCTTCCAAATGTAAAGGGAGAATTTCAGCCTGTAGTTAAGTTTCATTCCTCTGTTTTCCAGGCCACCTTTCAAATGGACCTAAATGAAGTACAGTTGACCCTTGAATAACACAGGTTTGAACTGTGCAGGTTCACTTATACATGGTTTTTTTCCAACAGTAAATTCTATATTATAGTACTAAATGATCCGTGGTTGATTGAATCCATGGAAGCAGAACTCTGGGTACAGAGCAACTGTGGTTACAGAGGGCCCACTGTTAATTATACGCAGATTTTCGACTGCATGGAGGGTTGGTAGCCCTGGCCCACATTGTTCAAGGGTCAATTGTATAGCATCAGACGGGATGGAACCAAGCTTCCGCAGTGATCCTTTCTTGATACCGAATCTGTCAACTTACTCTCAAAAGCTATGCTGGCCCTGTTGATCATAACACTGTAATTTTGCCTCATGGTACAGAATATATACATTCTAAAAGTATTCACTTTTTGTCAATATATGTGTGTGTGTTTTCTATTTTCTTTTAAAAGTTTTTAACATATGAAAATTACTATTAGAATTTTTTAACTTAAAGAAAATATGTCTCAGGTAGTTTCCCCAACCATAACTGATTTTTCTAATGGTTAAAAATGCATCTAATGGCTAGAATGTCACCACCTGGAATTTTAAATATCAATTTTCTATTAGCTGTATGATCTTAGCAAGGTAGAATTTGGTT